CTTTAGTAACCATCCTCTTCCATGTCTTCTTTTTTTTCTCCCAGTTTAAATAACTTTTAATACTTCTATTTCTTATTGGACACAAACTTTTGGCAGAAGAACTTCCCATTTTTCCACCTTTTCTTTTTGTTTTTGTTTAATCATTTTGGAAAGTACTTTTGCATGAGACTGTCTTCTGTCCCGCAGGGAGGCATGTATTGCTGCTTGTGGAGTTTATTCATCATTCTTCTGTTTGGTGTTTGTCTTTTTGTGCATTTTGATAGTCTTTTTCATTTGTATTTTCTCCACATTGTGCTGTTTGTGGTAGAACTTAGCCTTCAGGTCAATCAAATTTTTTTCCTTCTTGGAATGTTCATGAACCTCTCGACTTTCTTTTTTGCTTTTTCTCATGGTTATCCAAATAGTACCCATCGTATTTATAGTATAATACAATATTTTCATTTTGTGGCATGGTGACAGCTGCAGAGCCACTGGGGTGGCCTAAGGTGTGCAAAGAATAGTCCTAAATTTTAACCATGGCTATTTTAATTTAAAAATGTGGAGAAAGAATATAATTAATGATACATTCAAGTCATTATGTGAACAATTTTTACAATAGAGTGCAAAGGACATTTTTTATTTTTAGCTGTCTCAGAATTTTTGGCTGTGTGGAGGTGGTACCACTGTTTCTGTAGGTACTGCAGCACCAGGTTGATGCGGAGCAGATGCAGCAAGCTCCTATTCCATCTCCCAGATCCCAAAACCCATTTAATATATGTCCTCAGATAGAGGGCAGATCAGATATTAAGCTGATAAGAACACATATCATACACGACCTTAGCCCAAAGGCCGAGAAGTGATGGACTCACTTTTATAGGTAGAATCCAGGTGATGTGGGTTATTAACCACCAGCACAGCTAGGCATGGTAAGCAAAGCAAACGTTCTCGGGAGTCGTTTCTTAGGAGCTGAGTGGCTGTTATCCCCAGATGAGTGTTCTGCTCCTCTTATTACTGTTGGTGAGCAACAAAATTTACAAAAAATCCAAAAGCAAAAACAAACAAACAAAAAAAAACCAGTTTTTTGTATTAAAAATCAGTTAAAAAGGAAGTGCATTAAAAAAGTAAATAAATTATATAAGTACCCCAAACAATAACTAAATTTAAAGCCTTCACAATGTTACACTTGTCTTATAAATGAGTTTTAGCTCTCAATTATTTTGACTACATCCTCTCTGATGTCATCAAGATTAAGATTAGCATGAAAAGAAAGAATGGCTGGGATGGGAGAAAGCATAAAAGAAGGAAAGGGAGATAGATAGCTAGGTGGATGGATGGATGGATGGATAGGATAATTGTACCACTTTATATCACTTCTTTGAAAGGAACAATTAGTGCTCATATTGTTGATCAATTTTGCGAGTCTATATCTTGTGATCTGAGCAACTAGTTTGAAGATAAACATGTAATGTTAACCAATGTTCATTTCCCATCATCTTGTTTTGAAATGCTGTATCAATTTTTATGGCTCGCCCCCCTTTTCAAAAAATACAAGATTAGAAGAAATGCAACTCTGGCATACAACAACAATTTAATTTATTCATCAGCCAAAATAGGCAGAAAACAAAATTAGGAATGCTAATAGAAATTAACATTAGCAGCAAAGAAAAGTGAGCATTCAAATGCTAGGAAGAAGTTGGAAAGTCTTGAAATTGTGCTCGGGCATTTACGAGACAGAGTGATGAAGTTCAGGTTGAGGCGCCACACCACACTTGCTGTGCTGCATAGAGAACACTTGGCCTTGCGTGGGATTCGCAGGCGGCAGGGTGTGAAGTGAGCGCCGCAGCCCTTGAACTTCACAGTCGCAGGGACATGCGGGGAACAAATGGAGACAGGGACGATTTTAAAGGACTTCCAAGAAAACCTGCTTGGGCTGCGCCCCAGTTGTGGAGTTGGCTGTTTTCTCTCCCTCTCCCCCTCCCTCCCTTCCTCCTCCTTCTTCCTCCCTCCCTGTCTCCCTCCCTCCCTCTTCCCCTCCCTCCCATTTTCCTCCTCCTCGTTCTTCCTCCCTCCCTCTCTTCCTCCCACCCCACCCCCCATTCATGGCCTCAGTGATAGAGCCCTCATCAAGAACCTCTCCCTGGATTGCGGCCGTGGGGCTCGTGGGGCTCGGAGCGCGGGCTCAGCACCGGATGCCTGCTGGGCTGAAGGTCTCTCCTGGGCATCGGACCCAAGCGTGGCCCGGCGCTCCGCAGCCTGCAGCCTCCGCCCCGGCGGACTTGGGGCGAGCGGCGCAGCCGCGTGTCCGCACGGCCCGTGACTCTCGCCTGTCTGTGTGCTGGCGCAGCCTGGGTTTGCGGTTTCTTAGCTCCGGGCTTTCTCTAAAATCGTCTCCTAACAGACGCTGCTCATGCCTGCTGGGCCACCTCCAGAGCTGCGTGCGTCAAGCTGCCCTGTGAGGGTGGAGCGACTCAGGGCTCGCCTTCAGGGTCTCCCCTCGACGTTCCCTAGGGGCGAGGCTAGCGCAGACCTGCCCTTCCTGCGCGTTTCCTGGTTCCTGCTGCGGTTCCGGCTCCCCGGCTGTGAGCTGTGTCTCCCCAGCGTTGGCAGAGCAAGCGCTGGCCTGGGCCTTGGCTGCTGGGAAGCACTCAGGGCGGAAGCCTGCCGCACTTCACCGCCTTCATCAGGCGACTCAGACTCACTAACCTGCAGCGTGGTCCAGGGAAGGTCTCCAAGGGCTCGCGCCGTGAGCTACCACCTAGTCCGGTGGATGTCCCAGAGAGCTCTCTGCTTTGGGAAATGCTGTTGCCATGGCGTGGAATCCGAGACCTTCTCAGAGAGCGCAAGCCGGCCAGGAAGTGTGGCTCTCGGGTGCACACGATGGCCTGCGATGCACCCAGAGGTCTCAAGCAATTCCATAATTTTCAATAGGACCAGCTATTAAGCACACACTGTAAACTATGAAAGTTGTTTGGTCAGTCTCATATGTAGGTTACTTTGGGGCAGGGG